AGACATTTTCCTATAGACATGTCCTATAGCATCATTTGGGTAGAGAGCTTTGGCTTTGATGCTATGTGAGCACAGTAGTGTAATGTCCATGTAATTTCATTGGCTGTAATCAATGTCAGAGGTGACTTTGAGTGCTTCAGTGGCCTAGGCTGTGTGTTTTTGTGGAAGCTATGTCACAGCTTTACTGGGAGTGGAGACCACCAGACAAGCTAGTCCTTGGGCCCTAGGGGGACATGTGTGGGCACATGACAGCTCCACAGTTTAGGATAGTGGGGTCACTGGTGTCAGTGGGCCTGAGCAAGCCACTCTTGGGACCCTAGGAAAATGTGAAGAGGCTCCACTGCTGTGGGGTAGATTGTCACCAGTCGGTGCAGGCCCCAAGTGGTCTGATCCTTGGGCTCCAGTGGGGTTCAAAAAAGTACACAGCGGCTCTCCTGCTACAGAGGGTCAGCTCTCAGGCTCTGGGTAGCATGTGCATCAGCTCCTTCTGTTTTGGGCTTAGCCTTGCCCTTATGCTGGATAACATATGCTGGGTTGCTGGGTCATGATGTGTGGGCTCAGGTGCATGGGTTCATGGCTGCTGGTAGGCCCAGCTGGAGTCATGCCACTAAACTTATACTAAAATATAATTTAAATGGCACATTTTTGGTATGGGTATTTCATCATCATAATAAATGCAAAATTATAAAACTCTTAGAATATGACATAGGAAAAAACTAAATGACACTGGGCTTGTCAATGTTGGATTTTATCAAAGGTCTTTTCTGCATGTATTGAGATAATCATGTGGTTTTTGTCTTTAGTTCTGTTTATGTGATGAATCATGTTTATTGATTTGTTTATGTTGAACCAACCTTGCATCCTAGGGATGAAGCCTACTTGATCATGGTAGATAAGGCTTTTGATGTGCTGCGGGATTCAGTTTGCCAGTATTTTACTGAGGATTTTTGCATTGATGCTAATCAATGATAGTGTCCTGAAGTTTTCTTTTTTTGTTGTATCTCTGCCAGTTTTTAGTATCGGGATGATTCTGGTATCAGGATGATTCTGGCCTCATGGAATGAGTTAGGGAGGAGTCTCTCCTTTTCTTTCTCTCTTTCTTTTTTTTTTTTAGACAGGGTTTCACCATGTTGGCCAGGCTGGTCTTGAATTCCTGACCTCAGGTGATCTGCCTCTCACGGCCTCCCAAAGTGCTGAGATTACAGGCATGAGCCACCATGCCCAGCCGAGTCTCTCCTTTTCAATTTTTGGAATAGTTTCAGTAGAAATGGTACCAGCTCTTCTTTGTACCTCTGGTACACTTCAGCTGGTACCATCAGACAATCTGTCTGGTCCTGAGCATTTTGGGTTGGTAGGCTATTTATTACTGCCTCAATTTCAGAACTCTTTGTGTATTTGTGGATTCAATTTCTTCCTGGTTCAGTCTTTGGGGGGGTGTATGTGTCAAGAAATTTATCAATTTCTTTTAGATTTTCTAGTTTATGTGCACAGAAGTATTTATAGTAATCTGATGGTTGTTTGTATTTCTGTAGAGTCAGTGGTGATATCCCCCTTATCATTTCTGATTATGTTTATTTGAATCCTCTCCCTTTTCTTCTTTATAAGTCTTGCTAGTGGTCTATCTATTTTAATAATTTTTTCAAGAAATCAGCTTCCGGATTTGTTGATTTTTTTGAAGGGCTTTTCATGTGTCTGTGTCCTTCAGTTAAGCTCTGATCTTGGTTATTTCTTGTGTTCTGCTAGCTTTTGGGGTTTGTTTGCTCTTGGTTTTCTAGTTTTCTTAGTTGTGATGTTTGATTGTTAACTTGAGATCTTTTTAGCTTTCCGTTGCAAAAAATCCCAATTTAAACATGGGCAAAATATTGAAGAAATACTTTACCAAAGAAGATAGGCTGATGGCTAATAAGCAAGTGAAAAAATAGTTTAACATCTTACATCATTTGCAAATTGTAAATCAAAACAACGAGATACCACTACAGAACTATTAGAATGGCTAAAATCCAAAACACTGACAACACCAAATGCTGATGAAGATGTGGAGCAACAGGAATTCTCATTCATTGTTGGGAGGAATGCAAAGTGATACAGCTATTTTAGAAGACAGTTTAGCAGGATTTTTTCAACTAAACATATTTTTAGCGTACGGTTTAGCAATCGTATTTCTTGGTATCTACCCAAGTGAGTTGAAAATTTATTTCAGCATAAAGCTGGGCAGCTTTATTCATAATTGCCCAGACTTGGAAGCAACCAAAATGACTTTTAGTAGGTGAATGAATAAATAGACTGTGGTGCATTTAGACAAGGAATATTATTTGGTGCTAAAAGGAAAGAGTAAACAAGCCATGGAAAAATACATGGAGGAACCTTAAAGGCATATTACTAAATGAAAGAAGTCAATCTGAAAAGGCTATAGCCTATCTAATTCTACTTATATGAGGTTGTGGAAAGGCAAAACCATGGAGACAGGAAAAAGATCAGTGATTGCCAGGGATTTGGGGAAGAGAGAGGCATGATGTAGGGAGCATAAGGAATTTTTAGGGCAGTAAAAATCTATTTTGAATACTACTTTAAGGAGAATACATGTCACTATACGTTTGTCAAAACCCATAGAATGTAAAACACAAAGAGTAAAACATAATGTAAATTATGGACTTTGATTAATAATAATGTCAAAGTTCCTTTATCAGTTGTAACAAAGGTACCACATGCAACAAACATACAGATAATGGGGACTGATGTTAGGGGAAGTAGTTGGGGGAGTATGGAGTAACATTCAGCATTTTCCACTTAAATTTCCTGTGAACTTAAAATCACTTTTAAAATGCCAATTAATTCTTTAAAATCCATAGAATGTACTTTAAACAGCATAATCCAAAGAGTGAACTCTAATGTAAACTATAGGCTTTAATTAATAATAATGTATCAATATTGGTTCAATTGATGCATAAGTATCACACTAATTCAAGGTGTTATTTATACTTAAAACTATATGGTGAGGTGAGAGTCCATATGGGAATTGACTGTACTTTCTACTATATTTTTCTGTAAACCTAAAATTACTTTTTAAAATGGCTTTATAAATTTAAAAACAAATATAAGTATTTTCTGTCAAAAGAAACAAAAACACCTTTTTAAAGACAAAAAAAAAAAAATATGATCACACATACAGCTGGTAAGTGCTGAGGCTGCAATTCTATCCATGTCCACTGGATTCCAAAAAGTTCTTTTTTCCACAGCATCCCATGGAGCTACCTGCTGTTGAAGTTAATCTAATAGTGAAGGGCAATAGACAAACATGAACATCTTTCAGAGAGTCACTACAGACACAACAACAGAGCATGAATGCATCTATAGATTAACTGTGCCAATGTCTTTTTTTGGAAACTTCTCCCTGGACTATCTCAACTCTGGAGGTTATAACTGCTAGCTATGATTTCTCAATGTTTCTTACAGGTAGCAGTGTCCAAATGACACAGCTCTTGCCAATACACCATGAGCACAAGTAAGAAGGTTTCTGGAAAAGCCTTTGCTTTCAGGCATTAATCCCTCTTGTTCCACCTTTCTTTACTGCCCGAAATGCAGACTAAGAGAGAAGCAGCAGCCATCTTGGGACCCAGCATGAGGGAGGGAGCATAAAGAGGAAGGCCTCTATGCTAGGCACAGGTGACTGGAAAGTTGGGAGGAGGCTGCTGCTACCATTCAGCGGCTAAACAGGGGTAGATGCTTATTTACTTCACGGGCCTCTTAGAAGTTCTTTTGTAGGGTATTCTGTTATTTACAGAGAACACATTCCTAATACATATGTATCAATAGAGTAAATGTTTTGAGACATAAATTAAACTTAAAATCATCAGTTTCTCATGACCATTTTAGGTAGACTTTAGCAGGTCTTGAAATATCAATTTTAAAGATTGAAGTAATTATTTGCATATTCTTAGTAGACAGTTAACCACAAATTATCTTTGAATCACTCAAAAAGTGGACATACCACCAGAGCTGGTCAATATGGATTCTAATTCAGTGACTGCCTCCATAGATTTTGTGAAGGAGCAGATGTGAAACATGGGCTGGAACAGAATCTGGGTAACAGCCTCCTGAGTCTGGAGTTGCCTCTCTGTCCTATTAGAGCTGTAAGTTTGCTGGACATTACCCTCATTCTTCTAGGTTGAAATCTCCATATCAGACAGCACTCTTCCTTGTTTCATCCAACGTGGCTATGATCTGTGAGGTTTTGCAGTCATTTATGAAGCTTTGCAAGGTGCCCTTGGTTAGGAATTAATAAATCCTAGAGACTTGGTTATTATTAGTTGTATATGGGAATTTGAAATACAGGAATTACTGTCTTTGTCTCTTAAATTTGTTTACAGACATTTGATGGAGGAGATTAACTTGTCATTCAACTGTATTTCTTCTATAAATGCTGGGTAAAATGCACGCATATATAACAGACGAAACCAGTAAAATCCTAAGTTAATAACTATGTTGATTTACTTTTCTAACAAGTGTTCATATCATTTCAGTAATTTTGCTTACAGAAATAGTTTGTAAATTCTAAAGAAGTGAACGTAAAGTATGTTCCCTATACTATTTCTTCTGTAACATATTATATGGATTTGTTTGTTCTCTTCTACCTTATGTCTATTCATTTTTCTCCTTAAAAATAATTTACTTTTAAGTTTCTTAGACACTAGAACTGAGAACAGAACCCTAGCTTGAAAAGTACTTGAGTTTCCTTTGGACTATACTAGAAAAAAAATTTTTTAAAAAGAAAAAAGTACTTCAATTTATATGACGTCAACTAAATTAAATTTGGTTTAGTGTCCAGTCTGATTGTTTGCAATGAGTATTTCAATATGACACAAAAACATCTCAAAATCTATTAGGAAAGTTCAAGTATTATGGCTTTATGTATATCCAATCTAAGAGTTAATATCAATAAAAACATTTTGGTCTATTTCATGTAACTGGTGTTAGGTACTAAGCTGTTATTATGTATGGTTAAACTGGTAAAGGTTTTATTGTAATTTTAAGTTAGTAGCATTAAAAGAATAACACAACATGATTATTCTGTTAATAAAAAGACAAAAAGACTTCAGCACAAAAAGTGTCATTTATAGAAAGTACAATCATATGAAGTCTTTTCTTACACATCAAATGAAAAATCTAAACATTAATAAAGATTTCTTAAATTTTAATAATTAATGGGACCTGACAGAAGCATCAGTGAAAATGTCATCAGGAATATGTGCGACTATTAGATGAGATGTGCACAATTAGCTTCATCTCAGCAAAATTCAGCAAGAGCTCTTTTGGTACAACCAATTAGGCAACACTGGTTATACAGTGCCAGGGAGAATTGTCTCTTTCTTCGAGAATGAGCATGCAAGCCTAAGTATTTTAGTTCTGAAGGACTGCTGTCTGCGGCTTCACTTTGTCTATTGCGAATAATTTCCTTAAATTCTTCAGAGCTAAGATCTGAATCCTTTAGTATGGGTACATGCTGTTGTAGCTCTGGTAACAATGACTGCCTCCCAGATGGGGCTGCCTTCAGCTCCTGTGGCAAATTAGCAATTAATTCCGACATCATATTTATGGTTTCTGTATCTTTGCTGTTGAAGGATGGCACAATTTCTGTTAAATTAAAAAAAATGTACGTGAGATCATATTCATGTCAAAGAGCATTCAGGAAAATTATGAATGATTACATAGAAAAAAGAAAGCATTGCCTCAATATAAACATTGAAACAAAATAAGCAAGCATCCTAATATAGAAACAGCTTTCTTACAGTTAAACACCTTCAAGTACCATAATTTTACCAAGGCTCTGCTTTACCCCATTGGTCCTCTCTCACCTCTCTTCATGATCCCCTCAATGCTTTTATCACAGTATTTTTGACTGTGACATTCATCTGTCATCTCTCTGAAGTCATGTAAGTCATTGAAAACACTCAGTTTGACCACAGTTAGTGGTCATTTTCTTGGATTCTTCTTACTTAAGTCATTTTCTTCCATTGCTAAGCTATGATTTATGATATTATGAGTTATAATAGTAACGCTTGAAAAAGATATTGTTTTAAACTATTGAGTGTTTCATGGTGGCAAGTTACTCCTGGAGGATAAAGAGGCAGAATTTCCAACACCTCTGATCTAATTAGCAGGAGAAAGAAGTCTGATATTCCTCAACTGTCTCTAACAATTTGTCTTCCCCAGAGTATTTACTCCAAATCAATAGAATTTTATATTAAAGAGAGAAGTGGGTTAAAAGAACACTAACCAAAAATCACTGATTTAAGAAGAGATTCATATCTGCTGTGGTGTAAGTGCACTGATTAATATTTTGTTTGATGTTTGTTCCAAGGCTGCGGATCATGCACTAAGTAAGATTTGTGTATTCCCTAGAAAGGGTGCCTGTTCTTACAAGCAACCCAGGCTGGCCAAATGTGAAGGCTGGGAATCTGCTGAACACCCAGCTGACATCTTCCTCCATCTTTGTACCAATCCAGCTCAGCTGAACGTTCATGAACTGTTTCCATGTCTCTAGCACTGCTAGTTAGGAAATATAAATTTTTTTAAACGTTTCTTGTGCTCAAAAAACTTACAGTGAGCTAAACCCTCTCCTAACCTTAACTATCCTAATTACACAATTTTGAGAGTTTTATTTCACAAAGAAATTAGAAACACTGATGGTGTTTAAATTATAGTCTAAACCCAGATCAAGTCTTGCTGCTCTTCTTCCTGGACAGCAAAACTGTCCATTAACAAGGCATTACTCTTGAAATAATGAAAAGAAAGAGATGAGAGGAGTAAATCTAAGTGTGGGAGGCAGACACCTGGTTAACCACTGATGCCTGCTGATAGAGAAAACCATGTCCCTTCACCTAGAAAGCACTAGTTCTGAGGAAGAGCATTTCTTGAGTTTTGTAGCAAGAGGCTCAGTTATTCTCCTTTTAGCCCACAACAAACTTCAACAGTTGGAGTTTGACAGAAGAATTAAAAAAAAAAAATTTTATCTTTCTTCCTAACACTCTCCCTCATTCACATTCTGAACTGGAAATGACAGATGATAATTTATATCATTTTTGGTTAAATAAGAGGTTTTGGCATTTTCTGTCAGTAAGACATCCTAAGTTTAATTCAATTTAATTTCCTCATAAAAACCTCTCTTTGCTCCAACCTAAATTTTCTGTAGTTGGGCCTTACTAAATGCTGAGAAAAGCTGATGGTAATTTTCTATATACTTAAAGCCAGTTAAATGAATCAACCAAAACTGTTATAGCTTGTATTAAGTTTATTCATAGGCTGTGTGTTTTGTACTCTTTTATTAAAATTATATTTTAAAGCTGTTTTGAAATATTTCATAATCCATAACACTTTTAGCTATAGAACCTAGGCTCAGAGAAAATATTCTGTCTGAATTCATATAAATACCCTTAATTCACTGTATTATGGATACAAATCTCATTAAAATAGGCCTCTTATGGTTTAAAGTGTATCTTATTTTTAAAAGGGATGCGGTGACTATTACTTTGGCACACATTGTAGGATAAAATGATAAGCTAACAGTGTAATAATGTGAAAGCAAATAGCAATTACCTAACGGTAGAAGTCTGAAAACTCATAGGAATCACAAATCACATGTACTTCCTACCTAGTAATGGTAAACATTTATCTTACTCCCACCTGCAGACAGTATTTTCTTAGATTACTTTCAGTTTAATTATACTGCATAGCAATAAAGAAAATTCTTTAATGATACTTTAAAATCTCATGTCTCTTGTAAGGAATAAAAATATAGCCAAATATCTATATATAAATTTGCTCAGTGAACTATTTTCGGCAACAATTTAGAAATAAACTACATATCCCCCAAAGAATGTTTAAGTATATGTGGGAGATTTATGACAAAAGTACTACACAGGAATTTTAAATTATGTTTTAGGATAACAATGTGAGAAACTGCTCAAAGTATAATGGTGAGTGAAAATTCAAAAGATATACCTATCCAAATGTTAACATTTCTTTCCACTTGTTTAATATAATTTCATTTTCTCATAAAATTCACATATATTTTTCAAAGTCTTTAATATCTATGTGTGTTTCTCATTTTTCTCCCTTCATTAATGTACATTTTTGTCTTTAATACGAGCGTTACTACTTTTATAGTCAGAAAACATGGAATAATAAAGCAAATGCAATGCAATCTGGTCTTCTCTACTTTGAATCAGTAAATTCCTAGACTTTGTGGTACTTTTGTACTAATGTTATACAAAAGTAATGTAAAAATTGCCATTAAATCGAACTCTAACAAACAATGTAGAAAAGTAAATAACTTTAGAACTATACTTTAAATCTCGTAAAAGTCAATATATTTACATTCGAGTCATTTATATACAGCATATGTATATAGCCTATAAAATTTAGTTGTGGTTTATTAATATAACCACATATGTCATATTAATATAAAACACGTTATTGTTGCAAATTGAGGTTACCTTCTCCGAATTTAATATGATCCATTACACTTTCCAGGCTAGCGTTTACCTCCATGAGTTTTCACTGCTACTTTATAAACACAAAAATATTTTAAAAGCCATTCTAGAATGAGCTGTACTCAACTCTAAGATCTTGCTTTTAAGGCAAACCCACTGCAGCTTCCAAATGCTTGCAAGCATCAATAGGGTCTTCAGCTATGATGGTCTGAAGGCCTGCTTCCCTTATCTCTGGTCCTCTTAAGTTTCTCTTGTAGGCATTCAAGCCCTTTCCTTTCCTTTCTTCCTTTCCCCTTTCCTTTCCCTTTCCCCCTTTCCCCTTGCCTTTCCATCTCCTCTCTCGCAAATGAACTTCAATACTCAGATCAAAGAAGTGGGAGGCCAGGCTCTTTCCTTTGGAACTTGTTTTGTTTTAAGGAACATTTCCAATGGCATAAACCACAGCCCAACTTTTGGATGAGGAGAGTCATTAAGTGTAAGGCCCTTCCCATCTTCCCATTACCAGATCCTCACAGAGACCTCAGAGTGCTGCCCCGTCCTACGGTGCTCAAACAGGCTTGATAATCAGCGCACCGTCTCAGTGTTTACCCCCTTTCGTCTCAATCCGAGATGCCCTGTCCTGGTGCCCCCACCAGCACGCCCGTTGTTTGGCCGCCCGGCCACCTTCTCTGAAGCTTCCCCTTCCTTTCCACCCTGTCGCTCTGGCTGCCTGGTGGGAAAGGCACCAAGGAACTCAGGTGAAGCAGCTTCCTATTCTCAGTGCTTTCCCTCCTTCTGGTGAGATTCCCAGAGAGACTGTTTGAATAAAATCACCTGGCAAAAGAAAAGCCAAACTTTAGGAACCGGCCGCGGCGGAGTAGGAGCTGAGCGCTGGCAGCCAATGAGATCTCGAGCCGGGCGTGCGAGCCGCCGTTCCGATTGGGCAGCCGCCGGAGAGTAACCAATGGGAAGTGCGGGAAGGCCGGGAGGGTCGGGAGCTCTCACCTGTCACTAGTTCGGGTTGCGGAGAAGCATCTTCCCGGCTCAGAGTACTTTTGTCCACGGTGCTCATGCCGCAAGCGTCGATCTGCGCGCGAACTAACTCTCGGCCGCATACTTTAATAACGTCGTCCTTCCCGTTTGTCGCGACTGCTCTGAAAATTTGGTTCAGGAGTAAACAGACTCCTAGCAGGTGGAACAAGAACAGGCGAGACATCCTGGCCCTGAACGCTCCTGGAGGTCTGGGCGTTGCTGCCTCTCGGGTCTGCAGCTGCTGTGGCCTACAGACCTGGACCTGTGTGCCTGTCCCCGGCTTTTGGCTGCTTTCCCTACCTGGCTTAACCAGTCTTTTATATATCCCTTGGGCTATCACTCAGCTTTTAAGGCAAGAGTGCCGGCTCCACCCCTTTCCTAACCCCCTCCACAGAATTTTCTCCCCCAGCTCTTTTCACCCTCTCTGCCTTTCCTTCATTTGCTCATCCCTCTGTCCTTGGCCCTTTTACAGTTGTATTTTTCTCTCTTTCGTTGCTCTCAAACAATTTTGTATATTTAGGTAAAGTTATTTTAGATATGAAGCCTTTCCTTTTACATACACAGAAATAAAATTGAGATCGCCCATATTCTTACACCCCAGTTTTCCAGAGTGAACATTTGCCAAAACCCTTCTAACTTAAATAAGATTATAGTTAGATTATATTGTAAATTGTATTAATTAGTATGGTGTTGGGCATATCAATCCATAAAAATATAATGGATAAATGAATAAATTGTTGATGAGAGGGAAAACTGATGACTTTTAATCTGAATCCAGATAAAAACATTAAAATCTCCAATAACATAATTTGAGGCTTGTGCAGTAATGTCTTTAATTTACAACACAATTTCTCCATTTCCTTCCACTCTCTGGGAGAAGTTAGATTGTAACTAGTTATCTGAATATTTTAATTTAAAATTCTACTCTGCATCTCTACAGACTAGAAAACACCACACACACACACGCATGCACGCACGCACACACACACACACACACACAGAGAGAGAGAGATAAGAAAAAAGCAGTGGAAATCCCACAACCCCAGAAATAATAATAAATTATAGCACAAAGATATGTTTGTATATTTGTTTGTTTTTTTGTATTTTGTATTTGCTGTACCTGTAAGAGGTGATTTTTTTAAACCACCATCTAATTTAACGTTTTAAAGATCCACACACTTCTAGATAATATGTTTAGTAGAAAACTCTTCTAGTTATACATTTTTAGTACGAATAGGTTCATTTTAAAAAATAACTTTCTTGTGTTCATAATATACTCAGATTAGTTCAGCTCCACCAGATAAACTGGAGACATGCAGGAAGTAAGGGTAGCTTTGAAATAAAGTAATACAATCTTTTACTTACAAACATAAATATGGAATAAAATAATTCTAATTTCTAGATTGCTGGTGATTTCAGTAGGCGCATTTAGTATTGGTCAAATGCCAAGCAATGTGTAATTCTTCAAAAAATACCTGACCAAAGCTATGAGATGGTCAGAGGCAATGCATTCAAAAGGATTTTCACTAAAACACACAGTTTGAGAGAGGCCTCTCGAAACTGAGCTTTGAAAATATTTTTATGGGTTGACAGTCCTTGTAAAAATCCATGCGCAAGGCTGTACTCCAAAGTAATTACTTGTTAAAAATGTAAATTTCCAGGGATTTTTTTTGTTTTTGGGGTTTTCTTTGAGCAGAGTTTGGCTCTTGTTACCCAAGCTGGAGTGCAATGGCACGATCTTGGCTCACTGCAACCTCCACCTCCCGGGTTCAAATGATTCTCCTGCCTCAGCCTCCCAAGTAGCTGAGATTACAGGCTTCTGCCACCACACCTGGCTAGTTTTTGTATTTTTAGCAGAGACAGGGTTTCATCATGTGGGACAAGCTGGTCTCGAACTCCTGATCTAGTAGGTGATCCACCCCGCTTAGCCTCCCAAAGTGTTCAGGGATGTTTTGTTTTTTTATGTTGTCTACATGGTTTTATAGGGTCCCTAAAACTATCCAGTAGAGGGGCCACTTTCCCATTTTACAGAAAGAAGAAACAGATTGAGAGTAGTCATATCCTTATCCAGGGTAATTTTGGTTAGCACATGTGCCAGATGTGGGCTTACCCTACTGCTAAGGATCACAGGCAATGCAAGATTCAGTATTTACAGGCACAGCTAAAAGGCATTTTATGTCCTTTAAATAAAAAGGAAACATTTTTAAGGAGAAACAATAAATACATCCATGCATACAGCTGTCAAGTGCTGGAGCTGGGGATTCCAACCCATGTCTACTATATTCCAAAGCCCCCTTTCTGATTCAAACCATAAGCCTTGTTTCTCCTTTCTTTTATTCCTGAAGCAGACACAGAAAGGGAGGTGAAGCAGCCATCTTGGGACCATGAGGTGTGGAGCACAAAGAGGAAGGTCTACATGCTTAGACACAGCTGCCTGGGAGGGTGGGAGTAGCCTGCTGCCATCATTGAGGAGCTAAATGGGGTTGAATGCTTTTTCTCATAGGCTCTTATAAGTAACTGTTTAAGGGTTTTCTATTATTTATTATATCCTGAGATATCGACAGAGATATATGTGTGCATGTATATATATATATATATGCAGAATACATTTTTATTAAGAAATAAACTTACAGACATCAGTTTCCTATGAGAGTTTTAGGCATACTTTAGCAGCACTTGAATTAGATATTCTACAGATTAAAGTGATTATTTGAGTGTTTATACTAGATGATTTACTACAGGAAATTTTTGTACCACTGAAAGAGGAGTCATATATTAAAAAGCAGTGAATACAGCTTCTGGGTCCAGGAGCCCTGCCTCCATGGATTTTGTGGAGGACAGGACGAGGTATGTAGGTTGGGATGGGGTCTGCAGAGCTGCCTTCTGCATTTGGGAGTGCATCTTTGTCTTGTCCAAGTTGCAAGTTTCTTGGGCATTGCCCTCATTCTTCTGTGTTGGAATTTCCATTTCATAGCGCACTCCTTTTGGCTTTGTCCCAGATGTCCTCTGAGCTTCTACAGCCCTGTATTAAATTCCCTTGCTTGTGGCCTGCCCCATCTTCCGTTCCCGAATTTGTCTATTAGGGCTTGGCCAACAGTTCTAAGAGAAACTTCTTTTTTTTTTTAAGATATAAAAGTCTGCTCTTTTATATTTCACCACTAATCTCTTTTCCTACCAAATTGTTTGTATTTTCTACCAAATACTTGTTGTTTTCTCTGATCTGTCAGCAACGGGCAACTCATACCTGATTCCAATGACAGTCAGTGCTACATTGGATTTGTTTTTGTTTCTAGTTTTTTTTTTTTTTAATTATTATTTCATTGAGATTTGGAGAAGAGGGAGGGGTAAATGCTTTTATTCAGGCCTCCTGAATGAGAAATCAGTGCTGACTCCTCCCAGGTGCCTTTAGAACCGCTCCAGATGTTTATGCTTTCCTTTGAGGTTATCATGGTTCTTTATCAGAAGAGTCAAGCAAGAAATGACGGGATGTCATGATCTTCAAAAAGACTTCTTCTCAGCAAACTGCTGGAAATATGTTGGTTAAGAGATTAGGAAAGATAAATAACTTCGTTAGTTTTTTCCTAATTTCTTGTTTCTACTCAAGTAATACTGTATGTACTGAGAGAAAGTTCAGAAAGAATCATCCCTGGCCAGACCTGGTGGCCCCAGTAATCATCACACAGGCCCCAGAGCAACTGAAAAACAAAAAACAAACAATAAGTTGTCACTGTTTGCTTTTATTGTGGTTTGTGGTTTTGCTGTTATGCTGGGCATTGGCTCTCACGTGTGATACCCAGTTTGACCATACAATCCAGCCATTGCCACAAGCCACACATGGAACATTGCAAGGGACCCCTAAGCCTGGCTCCTCCATCAAAATTTGGTTTAAAATTAATGTCAAGGCATCAAGGGTTGATCTGTGGCGTAAGGCCTAAAATTAATCCCAATATTATGGGCTGCCTTGGCATCTGATAAGAGTGGGAAGGCCTCACATGGCCTGACCACAAGTTTCCCTCCTCACGCTGCTCCTGCAAACAACCCTCCGCATCAAGAGAACTAGACACAGTTCCTGCTTATTCTTGAAGAGTGAGTTTCAGTTCTCTGCCAGCCCTGGAATTATTCAAAGAAGCCAGTCACATCCTTTCATGGTAACCAGGGGTCACCTAACTCTTTTGATACTACAAAGCTTGCCTCACATGGCCCCTCTTACTCAGTTTGTTCCCAACTGCAACCCCGTGTGGCCCTGCATGGCATGTAGTGTCATTGTCCTCCACCCTATAAGTCTATGTAATTAATAAATTTCTGTCAGTCTCATTAGGCCAGTGTCACTTGTCATATGTTTAGCCATGTGCATATTCCAATGCAGGAATCCCTCCTGCTCCAACGGGTGAATAGGAGGTGATTAAAACAACCAGGTACTACAACAGATCTCCTCCTCTTCTTTGTTCCTAGAGGAACAGGAGTCAGTTCAGACTGTATAATGTGTTCTGTGGTTCTCAGGATCTCTTTGCTACCTCTTCTCATATCCCTTCTCACTCTGCTCAGTGTTGATAGAAAGTCAGTCTCTCCAATGCAGAAATCATGATCTCTCTGTAACCCTTTCAGCTGTTTCCCATTACCCCCAGCATGTAGTCTAAACTTCAGCTGACTTTAATATCGCCTCTTCCTGTCTTCTCTTCAGCAGCATTTTCCTCTCCCTCTTCCACACCCAGTTCTCAGTCCTACTGACTCACTGGCAGTTCCATCGGCCTTGCCACTACCTTTGTCTTTCCCTCTTCCTCCTCTGCCTCTTTTTCTTTATTTTCTTTTCAAAAGCAGGTAAAGCGTTAACTACATGACAGATCTTTTGCTAACCATCTCTTCCACACTCAGCACCCCCATCCCAGTCCCTCTACAGTCTGTTCCTTCTATCAGAGCACTCACAACTCTTTACTTGTAGGTCTTTCCTACTAGACCGTGAGCTCTTTTTGGGCAGTGACAAGCATACAGTGGCTGCTCAACACATCTTGTTTGAAGGAAATTTATAGATCTCATACTGAGGTGTGGCAGCTTCCCTGGCGGTTGTGGGTAGAGGCATGGGAACAACTAGTAGGTCCTGGCTACAGAGTAGAAAATTAACTGAGTCCCCAGGTTACTAGAACTAGGGAAAAGCAGAGACCCTGTAATTAAAGATCCTGTGACACACAGTGAGGAGATCCAGGCTGCCACAGGAGCACCAATTTTGGAGTGAGTCATATCTTTGAGGACGGGGAGTAGAGTAGTTGTGATGGATAAAAGAGGAATCCACATGATTGTGGATGAGACAGAAAGGAGCAGGAAG